TATATAAAATTTATTTGGCAACTTGGAAACACATTGCGAGTGGTTGGCGGGTGCTCTGGTGTGGTTTGCTTCTTCTTTCCTATCAAACATCTATCGTCCTTATCTCCCCTCCATCTTTTTTATGTTTGTTCCTCTCTTGTAACACCTCTAATCTTCTGGCGCTCATATGACCTTATGCAGTTGCGTGTGCCGTAAAACCTCTATTAAAACTAAACTAAGGAAACACATTTCTCACTTTTCCCATAAAACTGGCTGATCCAACAATGTCACGCTCATAACTGTGCCTGAACTGCAACAGGGAACTGCTGCTTTTTGATTCCTAATCATTACTGTCGTCATTTTTCCTCTACTTCTTTTGTATGTTTGTCACACTCTCGTGACACGCTATGTCCGGGGTGCCTAGATAGTCGAAGCAGACTTTGTGCTGTTGAAGCTAGAGAGGTGAGCAGAGTAAGCCTGATTCCCTGTAAGGATTTCCCTGTTGACATCCGCCCCTTGGCGCTCATATGACCTTATGCAGTAAAACCTCTACTAGGTGGGTGGTTGGCGGGTGCTCTGGTGTGGTTTGCTCCTTCTTTCCTATCAAACATCTATCGGCCTTATCTCCCCTCCTTCTTTTTTATGTTTGTTACTCTCTTGTAACTCCTCTAATCTTCTGGCGCTCATATGACCTTATGCAGTTACGAGCGCCGTAAAACCTCTACCAAAAAACAAAACAAAAACAAAAACTCTACTAAAACTAAACTTTCCCATAAAACCACGACGGCGACAGAGTTGAAAGCTGGCAAGTACCTGCAAAAAGATATATATAAGTCCCCAGGACGGAGCCCGATTTTTTAATTTATTCATTTCCAGAATTTAGAAAAATATATTTGGCAAACAGTCCCCGTCCTTCTTTGGCCTTTGGGATTATTCTACTGAGAAACGAAACAAATCTGCGTAGCTCTCCACAACGGAATTTCATTACCGCTCTTTAACTAACGTTCGCCAAAGAAACACGATTCAAGACACGGGGTGAGTAATTTTCGTGTAGCGTAGTATGTGGAGACGTTATCCTGTGTTTATATCCAATGAGTTGTTTTTAATATAGGGCCCAAAGAGAAAAACTTCTTTATTAC